TCAAACTAGTATAAAACCCAGAGTCACACTGAAATCCTGGACACTGTTATAAGCACTACAGATAGACTGTGCAGAGCACTGAGGCCCACTAAAGGACAAGGAAACCCCAGGAGCTTTATTATTGTTCTGGAAAAGCACTAAAACACAGGACACCCTGGGAAAGATCCACAACCCCACTTTGATCCTGGTGGAAGCTTTGAAACCTACTGTCAATCTATTTAGCCCCTCAGAAGCTCAGGAGAAAAATCTGAGAATCAATCATACCTGAATTCCCATTAAAGGTCCCAGAGAAATCCCTGAGCCCCTGGATGTCATTTCAAAATACACTGAGCCAGACTGAGACCCTGGACAATGCCCCGAGCTTACACTCAAAAACATGAGGGAGGGGCTGGGGTTGTGGCTCAGAGGTAGAGTGCTCACCTAGCATGTGAGAGGCACTGGGTTTGATCCTCAGCACCACATAAAGTAAAATAAAGATATTGTGTTCACCTAAAACTAAAAAATAAATATTAAAAAAAACAAAAAACATGAGGGAGCCTGAGTGCCACCCATGCAGTGGGAAAGGCCCTGAGCCCCACAAGGAAAATCTGAATATCTCTCAGTTATAATGACACACTGGGCAAGGCTCTATTACCTATTTAAAGTCTTGTGATACCCCTTGTTTTCTCAGGATGCTGTGGAAGAACCTGAACCCAACTAGATGGCGTGCAAAGTTCTTTAATCCAATGATATACTAGAGTGTGTCATAGGCAGGACTAGGATTTGGGGGAAGGCTGTGACACACTTTCAAACAAAGTCATCTCTGGGGAAGATGCTGAGCCATCCTGTGCTTCTGCAAAAGGCATGGAACTTCACAGAGACCCTGAGAAAGCCCTGGGATTCACAGAGCAATCCTCAAGTTCCCTGGGCCCAGTGTTTCCTGGGAAAGTGTTCAGAGACTCACCCTGAGTCTCGAAGAAACTCAGAATGAATGGAGATTTTCAGAATATATGCAGCCCTCAGAGACAACCTTGAATAAATTCGGAAAGAAGAGGAGACTCTCAGGATGGCTTTCAAACACAGTGTTATTGTGCCTAATACACTAAGAGCTTCCAGAACCTTGGGAAGGCCCCAAGCACATGGAGAAACTGTGAATGGTGCTGATATGCACTGAGGGCCTAGGAAGGCTAGGAGAACACTGAGATTTGTGGGAAATTTGTACAAGGAAGGGATCTCAACTTCTGAAGATTTGTAAGAATGTTTTTAACACTATTGTGACCACAGGGAATGAACCTGATCCCTCTGAGACTTTTGATGACATATCTCTGAACACTGGGGTCTATTCAAAGTCCCATGAAGACCAAGTAGACCTTTCTAAACAAGACAGAAGTTCTGGGGAAGGCTGGGAGCACTTCCTTGATTCTATGGTAGTCCCAGAAATCTACTGACACCAAGAAAAACCAGGAGCCACTCGGATACCTTCAGTAGGGTAGGCCCCAATCATCCATGTGACATAGAAAGACTAGAGTTTTAATGTGTGCCTGGAAAGGCAATGACAACACTAAGACTCTGCACACACCCCTGGGTACCCCAGTGACCCTGGAGAATGCCCTGACATTCACCTCAACTCTGAAATGGCCCTGAGAAATACTGTGACCATAAGAATTGCAAGGGAGTCCTCTGCAAACCTGGGACAAGTGCTGAGATGGACCGAGACCCTGGCTAAAACTCAAAACAGTGCATCCGGGGGAACTATTTCAGCAGTAGTGGATCTCTGGGAATGGCATGGAAGATGACTGAGACTCTGGAAAGTCCCTGAAATCAACTGACATCCTGAAATGTCCATGGCTTTCACAGTGGCCCAGAGCAAGGCCTTTGGCTCCTTCCAAAGCTGAGGAACTTCTGGAACTGGACTGAGATGGTGGCTGTGTCCCAAAGCTCAACAGAATGCATGAGGCAGTTCAGGAGAACCCTCAGTCTCTGGAGACATACCCAGACCGTGAGTGTGAGATTGGAGGTGACCATGAAAACCACCAAGACCCTGGGAAAGAAGACACAGTTCACAGAATCACTTCTCAGAGTCCAGCAGCCTCCTTAGTGACCTGCCAGCATCCTGAATTCCAGTGCAACAGAGTGAAAATCCCCAAACAACAATCAGAACACAGTGAAGGCCCCAAATGCCAAGAGACAGTTTGGGAGGCCTTTGAAGCAAACCAACTCACAGAAAGCACCTGAACACCACGGTAATTCTACAGAGAGCTCTGAGTCACAATGAAATCCAGGTGATGGTGCTGAGAAGAAAAGACACACTGTGGAAGTCATGGAGGCCCTGGAAAGAAGAAGGAAAGTCATGTTCACCATCCTGGAGTGGGAAGAGCACTGTGACATGAGGACACCCCTGGGAAAGCTCCACAAACCCTCAAGATCCTGACTGGGCCCTGAACCCACTGTCAATCTCTTGAAGGCCTTTGGCCTCCCAGAAGCTCTGAGGAACAATTTGATGCCCAATCCCACCTGAGATTTCCAAGAGAGCCTAGTAAAGTCCCTGAGTGCCTGTAAGTCTTTGTGGAAAGCACTGAGCCACACTGAGATGCGGGAGAAAACCCTGAGCTTATTTTAAGAAATTTGGGGTAACCCCGAGGGCCACTGACACACTGGGCAAGGCCCTGAGCACCACAAGAACAATGGGAAGCTGTCCATGTCATGAGGTCACAAGACACAAAGTTCTATTCCAGAGGCACTGGTGAACGGTCTTCATTTCCCAGAACAGTGTGGAAAAATCAGAGCTCCACTCAATAGTGTGTAGAGTCTAAAGCCCCCTGAAAGTCAAGCATAGGCCCTAGGCCTCTCTACAGTTTGAAAGTTCTTGACAGAAATCAGAGTGCAGGGAAGATGCTGAGCATTACTGTGAAGTTCAAAATGGCATTTAGCTTCCCAGAGACCCTGGGAAAGCCCTGGGAGTCACTGAGGAACCCGGAACTACGCTGAAGCCAGTGTTTCCTTTGGAAGAGTCACAGCCTTGTGCCCAGGCTTGAAGAAGCACTGAACATCTAGGAGACTCTGACAATAGATTTGAGCCTCATGGACAACCTGTCACAGACCCTGAAATCATAGGAGCCACTGACATGGGGGCTGAACTCAGTGTAACCCTGCAAAATGCCATGAGACCTCTTGCGACTTGTGCAAGGCCCTGAGCACATGGTGGAATGGTGACTTGTGCTGATCTTCACTGAGAGCCTGGAAGGCCAGGAGAACAATCAGACTTTGGGGAAGACTGTGCACATACTAAAGGAAGTGCCCTTCACATTTCTACAAATAAGAACAATGATTTGAACTCTAATGAGACCACAGTGAATAAAACTCATGACTGTGAGATGCTTTGGGAAGAGTCAAGCATCTTTGGAAAACTGGGCAATAGGTCAATCAGTACCATGAAGACCATGTGGACCTTTGTAAACAAGACATTGTAAACAGGACAAAAATCCTGGAAAAGGCCTTGAGCCCTCCAGAGTGTCTCGGGTAGGCCCTGAGGCACATGACAATGCAAAAGACCCTGAGCTCCTCTGAACCCCTCAGTGTCCCTAAGACGCTGTAGTAGGCCCTGATCATGTGAGTAACCTGGGAAGACTACAGCTTCTTGAGTGCCTGGGAAGGCAATGGCACCACTAAGATTCTGTAAAGAAACTTTGAATATCACAGTGACCCTGGGAATGCCCTGAGGTTTACTAAGACTCTGATCTGGACCAAAGATACACTGTGACCTTAGGTGAGAAATGAAGTCCACTTAAAACCTGAGAAAGGTGCTGAGATTGACTGAAATGCTGGCAAACCTCTGAAACCAGTCTGTCTTTGGGAAACTATCTCAGCATTACTGACATTCTGGGAATAGCACTGAAAATGAATGAGATACTATAAGACACCCTAAAAAACATTGGAGAGCCTCTAATGACCATGAGTTCCACTAAGGCCTTGGGCAAGTCCTTTGGCTCTTTGAAAACCTGAGGAGCATCCTGAAGCACACTGAGATGCAAGGAATGTCCAAGAGTACAATTGCATGCATGGTGGATGAAAGAAGAACACTGAGACTCTGGGGGAGCTTGTAGAGTATGACTGTGAGACTGGAGGAGACCATGCAACCCACTGAGACGCTGGGCAAAAGTCCACAATCCAAGGAATCTGTACCAGTGTACATGGCTTTCTTACTGACCTGCAAAAGCTCTGAATCCCAGTGAAAGAGTTGGAAAAGGCCTGAACACTATTAGAAACAAGTGAAGGCCCTGATTGCCCAGAGACATTTCTGAAGACATGTGGGTCACACAAACTCATGGAAAGCTGGTGATCTCACATCAAACTAGTGTACAACCTGTGTGACTCTGAAATCCTGCACACTGTTCTGAGCACTACAGATACACTATGCAGGGCATTGAAAGGCCCATTAAAGAACAAGAAAACCCCAGGAGCTTTATTATTGTGCTGGAAAAGCACTAAAACACAGGACACCCTGGGAAAGACACACAACCCCACTTTGATCCTGGTGGAAGCTTTGAAACCTACTGTCAATATAAAGGCTTTATTGAGAGCCTTTAGCCACTTAGAAGCTCAGGAGAAAAATCTGAGAATCAATCATACCCGAGGTCCCAATAAGGACCCCAGAGAAATCCCTGAGCCCCTGGATGTCATTTCTCAATACACTGAGCCAGACTAAGACCCTGGACAAAGCCCTGAGCTTATACTCAAAAACATAGGGGAGCCTGAGTACTACCCATGCAGTGGGAAAAGGCTCTGAGCCCCACAAGGACACTGGGAATATCTCTCAGTTACAAAGACACCCTGGGCAGGGCTCTATTTCCTATTTAAAGCCTTGTGACACCCCTTGTTTTTTTTTTGTTTTTCCAGAATGCTGTGGAAGAACCTGAGCACCACTAGATGGCATACAAAGCCTTCAATCCAATATAGTAGAGTATTCCTAAGCATGACTAGGATTTGGGGAATGGCTGTGACACACATTCAAATACACTCACCTCTGGGGAAGATGCTGAGCCATCCTGTGCTTCTGCAAAAGACATGAGACTTCACAGAGACCCAGATAAAGCCCTGAGATTCATAGAGCAAGGCTCAAGTTCCCTGGGCCCAGAGTTTCCAGGGAAAGGATTCAGAGATTCACCCTGAGTCTGGAAGAAACACAGAGTGAATGGGGATTCTGAGAAGAGAACTAGCATTCAGGGACAATCTCAATAGATTCTAAAAGAAGAGGAGACTCTTAGGGTGGTTTTTAAATACAGTATTCTTGTGCCCAATACACTAAGAGCTTCCGGAACCTTGGGAAGGCCCGAGCACATGGGGAAACTGTGAATGGTGCTGATATGCACTGAGGGCCTGGGAAGGCTAGGAGAACACTGAGACTCATGGGAAGTTTGTACACACATCTGAACACTTAAGGAAGGGCCCTCACCTTCCAATGATTCTGAAGAATATTTTGAACACTACCCAACACTTCTACCCAACAATATTTATAAGTAAAAAGTCCTCATCCTTATGAAGCCAGATTTAAAGATAGGTAGTGAGAAACTGATGTGATATCATTTTTGGAAACCAGCCTTTACCTTGGAGCAAAGCCTGTCCAAGGAAGAGGGCATGACCTTTGTCCTTGAAAAATCCCACAGAGCACTCCTAAGCACATACCCACCCTGCTGAGTTGTTTGTCTGCAAATAACAGGAGAGATCCTGTGGTGCCAGGTGTCCCTGACTCAGTTAGTGTAGGTGAGTAAGCATAGCAACCCCCTAGCAACCTCCAATCAGCATGAGACAGGGAAAATACCTGGGATGCCTGATGACCCCCTACTAATTTATGGTGGTTGATAACATGTTGGGAAACCATGTTGTTAAGCATGTACATCCCTCATGGATTAAACCCATCAGTTTAAATGAATCCCCCTCTTGTACTAACCAATTACCCTTACCCAACTTTTTCCCACCAGTGAATGTGCTAATCAATGTTGAGTTGTTGTTTGACTTTCCCGTGGTGTGAAATGATTTGCTGAGTGTTGTTGTGAGACATAGAGTATCTCCCAAACCTATAAAATCTCACTGAACAAAGGACGAGGACTCACTTCCTGGGACCTCTGCATCAGAATCAGTTGTGAGTCCAAGCTCAAGCTTGCAATAAAGACTCTTGTGTGATTGCATGGGATTCAGCTCCTGAGGTCTACTGGGGTCCCAAGAATCTGGCATTACAGGTAGTTAGTGTAGTTAGGTAAATCAGGTCTAATATTGAGTAAAATAAAGAAAATGGAGGCCATTATCAAAAATAGAGTCCAGGAAAGCAGAGCAGCACTTGGGAAAATTGAAATGTTAATGTCCCCAAGGCCCAGAGCCCATCCTAAGGAAATGTTAATGAAACAGCTCCCAGCAAACAGGGAGGTGATAAACTACCCCAGACCCATCCTGCCCAGATTACTCCTCCAGCCCACCTATCTCCCAACTTTTGGACCTTCCAACCTGCATTCTATCACTGAGAGATAATGGGAAACAAAAGACATGAATGTGAGAAAGCTGAAAGAAGACCTTAGCTATAAAAGAGGGAAGACTTACCCCTTACACAGATTCCCCTTCTTCCTCCAGGGAGAAGTCTTTTTGCTCTCCTTTAATAAAGCTTCTACTTTCCATTCTACACTTGCCTTGGTGAGCTTCTCTGGTGTTATACTTCAGCATTGGGGAAGCAAGCACTCCTCACCAGTACACAGCAGTAACACTTACATTAACCCTAGATTTGATGATAATGAAAAATTTTCCTAAATTGGTAGGTGAAAAACTACTTGTTCTTCAATTTTATTTTTATTAGTAGTAATAATAATTTTTTTCTATACTAACTACACATATATTTATTATTTTAAAAATGTGTCTATTTATATCTTCCAGGGCCCTTTATAGAGGTCCCAACTCCTAAGTTAAAAAGTCTGCCTCTCACCTCATTCCAAGTAAAGGTAATCAAATTCATTTAAAGTTAAGTTCAAAAGATAAACTTTTATTATATAACTCTCTATATTATTTAACAAAAACTAGTATATGTGGAGATTAGTTATATAAAATTATATTTCTTAACTCATAGCTCTTATAATAATTAAATATATTCTTACTCTTGTTAATTTTGTATTGTATTTTCCCTCCAAACCTTACAAGTTTTGATTGTTAATACACAAACAATACACAACTATCAATTCTAACATAATGAGTTAACTTAAAACAGTAAGTCTATTACCCATAGAACAAAAAGTTCTAAAACTGACTTTCAGCATCTATACTGACTCCGTTTTATAATTCTCTTGCTCAGCCTATTACTAGAGACAAAATCAAATCTCACATTTGGTAAAAACTAGACTTTCTTGTACTGTAATACCATTTTCAGTTCAATAACATTAACTCTAATGGTTTTCACATGCCTAACAAGTAACTTTTGACAATTCTCTTGCCAAGACAAAAATATTTATTCAGTCACTTCTTATTATTTAAATACTTGTACAATGCCAGGCCATTGTCTACAATTTAAGGCCAAATATGCTCCAACTTATATCAATAATTTTCTTCAATTAAAAAAAAAAACAGTTAAAGATGGACACAATATCTTTACTTTTATTTAATTTTTTTATGTGGTTATGAGGATTGAACCCAGGGCCTCATGCATGAGGAGGCAAGTACTGTACCACTGAGCCACAACCTCAGCCCTTTAATTTTGAAATAATGAAAAAAAAAAAAAAAAAAAAGGTGTGTGTGGGGGAAGAATCCTACATAATCCCACTAAATCTCACAAAATTATTTTACTTTTATTTTTTAAATTGTGATATTAAAAGCCTCACTGCTGCTGAACAACACATGGAGCAATAGAATAAACCAGCTTCCATAACACAGAGGCTCTATTTGTCTATTTCCAGAAAAACCTACCTGTTATCATGGAAACAACTGAAAAACCTGACACTTCAGGTTGAACAGAAAGCTCAGAAACAGGGAGGTAATAAGACTCCAACCACACTTAGTTTATAAACATGCTGAGTTTTTTGATCTGTCAGGTAAGTAGTATTCATGGTGACACTCATTGTACCCATTTCACAGATCCACCTTTAATGCACCTAACCATGTGGACTAGGTATCCATCTCAGTATTTTCTAGTGATACATAGATAATGGGAGATTTTACAGATAACATTACACTGCTTCATGCTGCTAGATTTAATTATATGGGCTACATATGATGGTCCCATGATTAACATGCTGGCTATTTAAAGGTAACTTTGAGGAAAAGACAACATAGAAGGACTTAAGCCAGACAATCATCCTGGCCCTTGTAATATAGAGTATATATCTGAACGGTTATTGAAATGGGACAGTTATTGGAATGGAACTTTCTCATAACTAGACATTCATATTCACCAATATTTGACTGCCCTAATCATTCTGTAATAGAATTTGACATCTTTCCTAAATGAATGAAATGTACAAATGCTTTGCCAGTGCAAATAAAATCTTTAGAAGTGATGGATATGCTTTGAATTGATCTTCAAAAATTGATAAAAGACAGGCTTGTGAAGGTGCCTCTTCCTACAAAAAGCCAAAGCCAGGAGGGCTTGATGTGGAAGCACTGCCACTGAATGTGTTTTCCTTTGGTTCTTGAAAAAATTTGCAGGCAACCATGTTTAATTTGAATTTTTAATATAACAAGATATCTAAAAATCTAGGAAAATTATTGAGTTATCTCAAACAATTTTCAGAATACAAAAATAACATTAGATATACAGTTGTTCTGATTCTTTAAAAATCTAAATGATTTAGATTACTCCCTATTGTTTAGGTATTGCTTTGCCACCATGTAATGAAGAGCAAGTTAAGTCCTGGCAAACTGATTGATGTTACACTAGAAAGATCAGTAATTTATATTTGGATTTATAGCAGTTATTCCTTATTTGATGATAATTTGGGTCCTGTATATCTTAATTTACTCTTTCAGGATTTTATGTGTTTCCATATTCACTGTATCTATGGACATAATCCATTCTGTCATGATACTATGACCCCTAGCAGTTTCTTTGTTAATATTCTTAACTTTTAGGAAATATAATATTACACATGATCTTTGGCATTTAATTGTTGCCTAAGATTTTCTCCATCTTACATGGATCCATACCTAACTTAATAGTCAGGAACTACAAGGAGGGTTTCTGCTATGGCCTGCAAGCCTATATTCAATTCTCTTATGTTCTAATTTTTAGAAATGTAAAATTAAGCAAAAATGGATGAAAGATGTCCTGTAAATTGTAAGAAATGTAATCTAACAAAGCTCATTTACTTAATAATTTGGCTCAAAATATTTCCAAAGTCCTATACAATGAAGTAAGTATTGAAGAAGAGATTAAAATTAAATCAAACACTTTTAAAACTGTTGTTATAAATATTGATAATGAGCTTTCTGCTCTCAGAATTTGAACAAAGGTTTAACCTCCACGTTAACTATAAGTAGGTCTGTGTTACTATAGCCAAATATCATACTTCCCAATAAAATTGGGAAAAACTCAGAAATCATCTGTTGGATATATGACATACTACTAATAATAGCTTGAGCCTTAGAGCATTCAGGATATTCAGAAAGGCAGAACCAATCTCATGGACCTGTATCTCTAGCTGATGAAATTAATTGGCTTTCCAACCTTGAAACATTCTACATGGTATGTTACTGAAATGCTATGTTCTTATTATATCATGATAATAGTTGTCTTACTCTCAGAACAAGGATCTAGGAACTCAAAGTAATTATCCCTTATTTGCATTAAAAAATTAAATATGGGAAAGATGTAAAGACTGATTCATGGACCAAATTGACATCATAGCCAATGAATAGAAAACTTTCAGTGGTCATTCTGCTGGTTAAGACTCCTGAGAGACACGTGCGCTCTAGTCAGCTCTGCCAGATTTCACACACCACTGGAAATGGGGTGACCTGTTGCCACCACCTAGCCATACAGACTCCCAGAGATAAGTGTGGCTTCCCAGGATGCAAATGAACATGTTGACTGCAAGACACCATGAAGCAAACCTCCACTCACACAAATCTTTTCCTTGCATTTGATTTACACCCTTAAATAAACAAACAGAGCCATTTTTTAAAAAGTAGAGCTCCAGCTCCTGTGTGAAATGGACCTCCCAGTTGTTCCATGCTTTCAAAAAGTAATTCTAATTTTCTCTTCTTTCTTCACTAATTACTTCAGATAGCTTTACAGATGGCTTATCCCCTCCTTCACAGGATGAATTACCCTGGTGAGGTGCTGGTCACCTTGTGAAACTGGAGAGACTCTGGGAATAGCACTGAAAATCACTGAGACACTGCAGAAAGCCCTGAGTAAAACAGAGAGTCTAGTAATTGCCATGAGTTTCAGGAGGGCTTGGGTGAGGTCACAGCTCTTTGAAAACCTGGGGAATATCTTGAAACACACTGAGATTGTGGGAATGTACAAAAGGCTGATGGAAAGCATAGTAAAGGGAATGAAATACTAAAAAACTGTGGGCAGGCCCTGAAAATGAATGTGAAAATAGAGAGGACCAGGAATCGTATTGAGACTCTGGGCTATGACCCACATGACACTGAATAAACCAGAGTCCATGAGCCTCCTTAATGACTGCAAAAATTCTGATGTAAAGAAAACAAAAGGAGACAGAAGCAAGGTACAGAGGCAAAGTGGCAGAACAGCAGGATGGCAGAGTGGCTGAAAGGCAGCAAAGGCCCCTTGTCAAGCTGGAAGCTTTATATCAATAGGCCACATTAGATCACTGGCATCAGTGTTACATTACTGTTCATTGTGTCATTAGGCAGTTACAGAGTTAGCAACATTATGCAGCTTATTTCTCAGTTACATACTTTAGTTGTAATGTGCAAGGTTAGGAGTTTCATGTAGCTCTCAAGAAAGTCCATAGTTTAAAGTTACTGTGATGTGGACAGGTTCAGGCTCAGTTTAGCTTGGTGAAACACTGTGGTTGTCTAATAAGAGAATTCCTTTATTCCCAGGAGCTGAGCACCTAAGATCAAGGTCAAGACTGATTAAGACTCTAGCACAGAGCCTCCTCATGCAGGGCATGGCCACAGCAGCTAGGCCTTGCACATGTATTAGTTACAATATGATTGACTGGTGGAAAACAGCAGAATAGTTCTAGTGTGGAAAACAGGTGACTGTGACCCACTGAGAGTTTGCTCACCAGAGGAATGCTGTCCTGTACATCTCCACAGCCAGAATCCATACACTCTGAATTCCAGTACTGTCACAAGAAAAGCTCTGAACCACAATTAGAAAAAAAGTAAAGGCCCTGAATGGCAAAAGACACTTCTGAAGGCCTTTGAATCTCACATATTCATGAAAAGCATCTGAAGACACCTGAAATATTATGGACAGTCCTGAAATTCTGAACACAGAACTTCAATTTCACATTGAAATTCTGGACATTGTCCTGAGAACTACAGATACAATATGGAAGGCATTGAGACTTACTAAAGAACATAGGAAAGCCATGAGCTTCCTAGCTGATCTTGAAAATGACTGAAACACGAGGAAATCCTGGAAAAGAACCACAGCACCACATTGACCCTTGTGGAGGCCCTGAACTCCTGTAAAACTATTTATTGAAGACTTTATCCTCACAGAAGCTCTCTGGAAAGACTGAGATCCAATCATAACTAAGATCTCAGTGAAAATACAAGAGAACACCCTGAGCCCATGAAAGACTTTGA